CCCGCCGTGCCAGTGTGGCCCCTCCCGGGCTAACCTAGTCCTGAGAGGAGGGACTCCGCTGACGGCCTACCCTCTAGGTTGCTGAAAGCGGGGCTCTGGAGAGAATGGCCCAGGGACGCTCTGCGCTGGCTCTGTTCTTGTGCCCTCCTTCCACCAGCTCACGCTCCCTGAGCCTGGACGACAGGCTGCCTCACTGTTGAGAGCAGGTGAATTTCCCTCGCCAGCCCCTCCTGGTCACGGGCAGTGCTCGCGTCTTCCCTCCCGACTCCCCCAAATACTGTTTATCAAAATTGTGAGAAACACAGGGATTCCCAAATGGCCCGGGGCCAATCTGATATTGGATTTCATCTAACACTGGAAGGTAAGCATTTATCTCTGCAGAAATAGGTTTTTGTTTTCTTCTCTTGAGTTTGCTGGTAAGAAAATATGAAAACATAGGTGAATGTTTTTCCGGCTGTCCCTGTACTATTGCAGAAGGGTTTCTTCTGTGGAGGGTGATGGCCGACCTTAGGGGACGGGCGTGACATTTCTAAGCAATCCCAGCTTAGCTTGGCTCCCATGGGAACCTGGGGGCTGGTTTCAGGAGGTCAACCTGTGCACTCGCTCACTCTAGGGTGGACTTGGGCTCTTGCACCCCACCCTCACCCCCAGTGGATTCTCTCCTCTCCAAACCTCAACAACCCAGAGCCCTCCAGCCATCCCAGCTGTGTTCCGTTAGAAGCAGTCTTTCTGGAACTCTGTTCTAAGCCCCTGTTCATCCACTTCCCCGTGCTCAGCCTGTCCCTTCAGGGAGCCACCTGGAGGGAAGTCCCTCCTGGTCCCATCAGGTGCCTGTGCTCACTCGCTCTCTTGAATGCACCTGGCTCTCCCTGAGGCTGAACACTGGTCACTGGGGACAGGGCGTGAGCCTCAGTCCTCGAAGGCTCTGGGACTCCCTGGGAGCCGTACACAGGCCCCCCTTAGAAGCTCTGCCCTGTGGTGCTCTGCCCAGGGTGGGTTTCTGGCTCTTTCCCTGCCTCCTAATGGTGAGGGTATGGTCCTGCATCTTCCTCTGCCCCCTGGAACAGTCACCCTCTCCTGACACCTTCCCTCTGGGCATTCCTACCTTGGCCCTCCTCGGCCAGCCCTCCATGTCCACTGGAACCTACCTGTGCCCAGCTGAGCTCATCAACCTGTCCCTCCTGCTCTCTCATTCTCTTCTGTCTTTTTAAATTCATGGCACCTTCCCGATTGCCCAGCCTGAGTCTGGGGCATGGGTAATGCTGTTACTTTGGAGGTGTGGTTCTGCGTTTGTGTGTTCTTTCGCTGGGCTCTTTGGGACAGTGAAAACACACACCCAGGCCTCTGCCTAAAGACACGGCTGCTCCTGAGACCCAGTCAGTCACCTCCCCCTGGGTTGCTTCAGCTCCTCCCCCGTGGCTCTCTCCTTTGTCCCTTGGCTCCAACTGCCTGGAGATAGTGAATATTGGAATCTTTGAATGAGTGTCTTCTCCTTAATTAGCCGGGACATGTCTGGAGGGAGCACTGGGGTCTGAGCTGTTTTTTATTTGCTTTTTAATTTAGGCATGGGCCCCGCCCCTCATCAAGCCTTGAGTTACCCTGCAGGGCAGGGATGCGAGGCCCGTTCAGTGTTCCCAGGCTGAGCCTGCTGGCTGGGTCACGGCACCTCCCTCCCGGCACAGCTCCTGGGCTCCACCTCAGTTGCATCTGGAACACTGGGTCCCTGTACCTTGGAAAGTGAGGACGGTGCCTGCAGTTCTGTCAGGCATAAAACAGTCCCCAGGCTCTAAGGTGTTGTTTTCTGCTTAGGAAGATGAGCAGCGTCCGGGGGAAGCTATAAAGTGGATCTGAATTATTAATAACCACAGATTAGTTATTAGAAAGAGCATTTGCTGGATGCACCTTAAAACCCTCACATGTTATTCCATTTACTCCTGATGTCCATGAGGCTGGACAACAATTAGCATTGCCCATCATCCCGGTACTCTCAGAGCCCTCTATTGTCCCTCCCGGTAGCCTTGGGACATAGGAGAGGCAGCCATGGGAACGGCTCTCTCTTTCCAGCCTTGTAAACTCTTAGCTTTTCCCTACCCCAGAGTCTCAGTCCCAACCACTTTTACAAGTGAGGACATCACTGAGAAGTTTACATGGGGACCATATAGCCATACATGACATCGGTTACTGAGCAGAGCCTCGAGTACCCCCAGTTGCCTGGCAGTTGAGAGCCTAGAGTGTGTGCAGTCCCCAGGGATGGTGCTCAGCACTCAGCATTCAGAAAGTCCCGTGGGTGAAGACGGTGTGCTGCCCATTGCCTTCAGTGGCATGTCCCTCCACGCCCTGCCCACCTGCCCGGTCCTCCTGGAGAATAAATGGAAGCCAAGCACGCACGCCTCACCCAGTCTCCCTGGCCCATTCTGTGTTGCTGTAACAAAACACCCGAGGCCAGTGAATTAGGAAGGGGAGGTTTGCTTAGCCCACTGCTCAGCAGGCAGGGCAATTGGAGATCAGGCAGCTGCCTCTGCCAGGCCTGTGCTGCACGTAATGTGGTGATGACGTCACCTGGGAGCAGAGGGTGCTGCAGCCTGCTCATGTGCTGATTGAGCCAGGCTCCCCAGACCTAGCCCACTCCCCGAGACCTACCCAGCCTCTGGAGAAAGACATTAATCCATGCATGAGGATTGTGTCCCTGTGACCGGTCACCTCCCAGAGGCCCCTCCTGACCAGCCATGTGAGGAATGGAGCCTTGGCAGAGTTGGGGTGGGAACAGCTGTAGCACAGCCTGCTTGCCTCCGTCACGCTCAGTCCTTCCCCTGGGCCTCCCTATGGGGAGCGGAAGTGGCTGTGCCCTGCGTCTGTTCCAGGGCCTCCCTCTCCTGCTCCAGTGCCCTCGAGTTGGAGAGGCCGAGCTCTGGCTTAGCATCCTGCCTCATGGCCTCTCGCCCAGCCTCCTTGGGCTCCAGGGATACTCTCCAGTCCTGCTAAGGGGCCTCAAGCCTCTCTGCAGGGAAGGAGACATATCATAAGTGTCTGCCACAGCTGCTGGAGGTTGGCCACACTGTGCTACCCTGTGCCAGGGAGGTGTCAGCGGCCTCTCTGTCCCGACTCCTCTAACTTTAAATGCACCTTAAAGCCCTCACATGTAATTCCATTTACTCCTGATGTCCATAAGGCTGGACAATGATTAGCATTGCCCATCATCCCCAGGTACACCTGCTCCTCTGGTCACCTCACTCTCTGGAGACCAGCGAGTGGAGGCGGGAGTGGGCTGACCTGCCCAGAGTGGCCCAGGGTGCCCATGGCCCACGCCTGAAGCTTCAGCCCACCCACATGCTGGACCAAGGCAGAGGTCCTCCTCGAAGGGTGATGGCACCTGGTCACCAGCCGCCCTCAAGTAGTCTTTTGGGGCAGCCACAGTAGAGCTCCCTGGACCGCAGACGGTGAATCGCAGAAAGGTGTTTCCCCACAGTCTGGAGACTGGAAGGTCAAGATCAAGGTGTGGTGGGGGTTCTTTCCTTGGGTCTCTCTCCTTGGCTTCTGGATGCCCCTTGCTATCTCATCCCATGGTCATCCTTCGGTGCCCACATACCCCGCGTGTCTGCTTGAGTCCCTCCACCTCTGAGACATGAGTCCTTAAGGACTGGGCCCACCCTAATGGCCTCACTTTACAAGCTTGTCTTCAAGCACAGCCACATTCTGGAGCTACGGGGCTAGGACTTGAGAGCAGAGTTCTGTGGGGACACGGTTGGGTGCCTGGCGCACTCGTTCCCCACACGAGGCCATTGACTGACAGCACCTTTCCTGTGCCCTTGCCCTTTTGGGTCCTCCTGCCCCGTTTATCTAAACACCTCTTCTCTGTTTCTCCTGGGGTCACAAGGCTGCCTCTTTCCAGGCACAACAGCCATCACGCAAACCGCTGACCCTTACGTAGGCGGTCAGGTTTATCTAGGAAGTGACAACGTCTGGTAACGCAGCCTCTCTAGCTTTCTCTACAGTAAACCCAGAGGTAACAGCATTTCTGAAAGGTCCACCTGGGGACCTGCTTGCATCAGAATCACCCATGCAGCTCCTGGAGCGACCCCCAGGGGGAGACTCCGAGCAGGGGGAGATCCTTGGGGTGGACCCGGGCATCCCTCCCCTATGCGTTGTCTGCCCAGCCCCCACCTCCACCTACGCGGGAGACGGTGGGATTGGGTCTCAGCTCTTCATTGCTAGGTGTGTGACCTTGGGACAGGTTGGCCTCCCTCACATTGTATCTTAATTTGCAAAATGGAATTAATCTTGCTAATTAATGGAATTAGTCTAGCAACCTCCTAGGGCTGCTTCAGGATTAAATTAGATCACAGAAATAAAGCACCTTCTCACCCGCTCGCTGCTGCTGCCAAGGGACGGAGGGCGTGTTCAGGTGTCTGCAGCCTTGCAGGATTTCCGCCCCCAGCAGGATTTCTGCTGCTGGGCAAAGACCAGCACAGGCCTTGTCCCTGGTGCATCTGGCCTGTGGCCCTGCATCCAGGCAGCCAGCACACATTGAATGAGCAGCAGTTTGTGCACAGGGAGAGTCCACTTAGGAGTTGACTGGCAGGCCCCCGGGGCTTTGGGGCAATAGGGGTACTAGCTAAGAAAGTAGAAGGGCCACAAAGAAAAGACATCCCAAAGGACCCCTGCCCGCCTGCAGCAGCTGGGCTGTGGAAGCCAAGGCCGTCTTCCGGTCAGCTGTGACCCGGTGGTCCTCAGAGTGCAGCTGTCCAGGGTGAGGCTGCCCTCGGACTGGGCCACGTTTCCACTGGCCTTACCGACATTGACACTTTTGCAGTCACTCAACCCTCTGAGGGTATGCAAGCGTCACGGGTTGGTTGCCCGTGGAGATGCCCTGACCGTGGACCTCTTGCTCTTGTCCCCTGGCAGAGGAGCTGAAGGCCCCGCTGGAGGAGTACGTCCACAAGCGCTACCCCGGGCTGGTGAAGGTGGTGCGTAACCAGAAGAGAGAGGGCCTGATCCGCGCGCGCATCGAGGGCTGGAAGGTGGCCACCGGCCAGGTCACCGGCTTCTTTGACGCCCATGTGGAGTTCACTGCTGGCTGGTAGGTCACAGACCGACACCAGGAGCACTGGGGCCTTCTGTGCCCTTAGAAGGAGCTGGAACCTGGGGGAGGGCACGCTCCGCCTGCTCCTCAGGGTCCACTGGAGGGATGAAAAAGGGTGGTGGAGGAGGCCGGAGTCCTGCTGGGAGAAAAACAGGGGAGCTGACTGCATGTCCCATCTACCAGCCTGATCTTCACGCCCAGGGACGGGCCTGACACTCCTCTTGTAGAACACACGAGGATCCTGGGCAGGGGACCCAGCAGTTGTGTTTGTGTTGATCTTCTCCCTCTTCTCGGGAGGGGGCCTGATAATTCCACCTTCCTGGCAGTTTCTGGCTTCAGGGTCTTGGCTCTGGTCTCAAGGGAGGAAGAGGAGCTTTATTCTCCGTAGATGTGGCCCTGCGGTTTTCCCAGGTAGAAAGAAGAACTGAGGGACGGGGCTGTGCCTGTGGAAGCAGAGGCAGCACCACAAGTTCACACAGTGAGACAGCGAAGCCAAAGCAGGACTTCCCCATGGAGAGGCGGGTCCAAGGGCACCCCAGGGGACAAGTCCATGTCACATCAGAGGCTTGGCAGGCTGCACCCAAGTCACTTATTAGAGAGAAGAGTCTTTTTTTTTTTTTTTTTTTTTAATCCGCACACATGACTGCACCTATTCACAGGGTACAGTGTGGTGTTTTACACATACCTACAGCATGCACTGGTCAGATCAGGAACTGAGCACACCTGTCACCTCAAATACTTATCGTTTCTTTGTGTTGGGGACATTGTAGCTATTTTGAAATATACAATAGATTATAGCTAACTATAGTCACATTACTGTGCCCTGAGAATCTAATGCTCTTATCAAACTGCATTTATGTTTCTGTCACTCACCCTTTTCTGACCCCCCCACCCGCTCCTCCCAGGGCCCAGCTAACACCTTGACTGTGAGGTCAGCTTGTTAAAGAAGCCGAGTCTTGTCTTCACAGAAAAGGTTGATTTACAACCAACGATACCCTTGAATAAGTTGTTACGGTACCAGCTTTAAAGAACTGGTGTCTTTCCAGGCATGGTGGCACATAGCTGAAGTCCCCGTGACTCGGGAGCTAAGGCAGGAGGAGTCAAAGTTCACAGCCAACCTCAGCAACTTAGCGAGACCCTGTCTCAAAATAAAACATAAAAAGGGCTTGGTGACATGACTCAGTGGTGTAATCTCTGGTATTAAAGGGAGAAAATCCTGATGTCCCCAAAAGCCATTCAAATGTGTCCTCATCTGCCAACTTCCCAGGCCTCTCAAGGAGCCTGAGCAGATCAGCACAGGGCAGCTGAGGTCCCTGTGGACATGGCCCATCCCGGCGCACACTGGCATCTGTCCTCACCTCCCAGGCCAGTCTCCTGGTCGACAGGCCACCCGTGGTCCCTTCAAGGAGGCAATAGGTCATAGGATGAGGCGGGAAACAGACCATTTGGTTAGATACCTGCCTCTCTGCTGCTGTCAACGCTGGTGGCTTGAAGCTGAGCGTCTTCAGTCCCTACCTGTCCCCTGAGCTTCTGAGTACTTCACCCTTTGCAGTAGTGAAGCAGGTTCCCAGACCAGCAGCCTCAGAGCTTGTTAGAAATGCAAATCCACAGGTTGGCAGGCTCCCCCCAGACCTCTGAAATCAGAAGCTGTGTGGGTCCTGCACCAGCCCTAGCCAGCCCTGGCCACCAGTCACCACCAGTCATCAGGACACACACAGTCAGCTTGAGAATCACTGAGCAGGGAGCCTCCTGAACAATTCACTTGGGGGCCTATGGCAGCTGTGGCTTGGCGTCTCCTGCCTTTAACCCTCCAAGTCTTCACCTCCACCCTCCTTCCCGGCCCCTCCCTGGCCCTCCCCACCCAGCCCCACCTCTAGCCATTTTGCCTTTGAACCAGTTCCTCACTCCCTCTTCCTGTTCTGGCTGCCACTGCCCCGGCTCAGCTCTTCATCTCCCCACCTGCTAATGTCCACCAGCCTGTCGGCTGTGGGTTGTCCATGGCTCTGCTTGAGAGCTCCTCTGTGTTCTGGGTCACAAGAGATTCTCCTTCTACCACATGCCATTTTGAGGGCCAGGAGGGAGAAGCCAGGCTGCACCTTGCAGCGGCTACTATAGCTTTGGCTCAGCTGTGACCTTGTCACTCCTGCTCAGACCCCATGGGCAAAGCAGCTCCCCCGAAAGCCCAGCCTTCCTGGGAGGTTGGGGTGGGAGCATGCCCCTCCAGGGGGCATGGCGGTCCACAGACATGCCCAGGGAGGGCAGCAGTCCCTAGGGGGAGTTGCCCCTCCTCCTGTGCACAGCGGACTCCGGACACTTCACCTGCAACAACATCACTTCAACCAAGGGCTTAAGTCTTCGTGCTGAGGGACAGCACAGGGAGGGCTGAGCTGGGCTCTCTACGCACAGCACAGCGACAGGCCATCTGTGGTCCCTTCGAGGAGGCAGTAGGTCATAGGGTGAGGCGGGAAACAGACCATTTGGTTAGATACCTGCCTCTCTGCCAGCTGGCCTTTGTCTCAGTCTCCTCACTTGGTAAATGATGATCACTGCGTCCCCTTCTGGAATACAGTGCATAGAAATCATTTCAAATGGTGCCTGGGCCCAGGTGCTGGGTAGGTGGCAGCTCAGAGATTAACAAAGGCTGTGCAGCTTGAATAAGGTGGAGTGAGGCCTGAGTCCAGAGGGAGGAAACCCTCCTCCTAGAGGAATTGGGGAGAGCTTCTAGGGAGAGGTGACATTGGATCTAAGCCTCCTGGGTGCTGGGCTCTCTACTAGTGGCCAAGGGCATTCCCAGGGGAGGGCAGAGTGGAACCCTGGAGGGCCGAGTCCTGAAGCTAGGTTTCTAGCCAGGAGAGCCCCCCTGCCTCCAGCTGGAATGGTGCAGACCAGACGTAGAAGGCAGTCAATGGCCTGGGGTATATTTTATTGTTCGTTTTAAATAGAAAGATGAGATGAGCCCACAGGTAATTCAATAGCTGCAAATGAACAGAGATGGGCTGTGCACCCAGTGCTCTCATTATTCTTCCAAATAATGCAGAGGAACGGGATTTCCCTTGACTCTTTTCCAAAGCCCGCACTCTGGTCTAAGCTGAGAGATTAATGCCTTGGCTTCCCAGAGCCATCTTGTCCTTCTCGAATGTGGGAAATGGCCCCTTCCCAGGTCTGCCTGGGAGACACACGTTGGCAGAGTTGCCTGACCATCTGCTTTTTCCCAGGCCAGCCAGCTACACCTTGAACTTGGAGCCAGATTGCCAGTGGAAGCCTGCAGCAGCCTTCAGAGAGAAAGCACGCTAGGAGGCAGGATCCTGCCTGCCTTTGCATTTAATTAGTTCCAGGCCTTCCATTGCTAACCAATTCAATTAGATCCCTTTTAAGAAATCAATTAAATAATCAATTAAAAAAACTGAAATAGCCACACATGCAAAGAAGCCAGCAAATCGCTTATTAAAACCAGGCTATTCAGGCAGACATGGCCTATTTTGGGAAAGGAAACTCAGTGTCAGCCAGCAGGAGCAGCAAGAGGCGTAGTGAGCACCCTGAGAGGGGAAGTCGTGACCTGTGTGGCACCGGAGAACAGTGGGAATGTGGGAATCCTACTGTCACTGACCAATAGGGAGGCCTGGCGCTCTGGACTGGGCACCCCGGGTTCTGAGTTCTCCCTCCCACCATTACAGGGACTCCAGGAGGGCAAGAGCCTGTGGCATGGCCCACACGTCCAAGGCCACCAGGGAGAGTTGATTCCACTTCTCTGTTTCAGGGCTGAGCCAGTCCTGTCCCGCATCCAGGAGAACCGGAAGCGAGTGATCCTCCCCTCCATCGACAACATCAAGCAGGACAACTTTGAGGTGCAGCGCTACGAAAACTCCGCCCATGGCTACAGCTGGGAGCTGTGGTGCATGTACATCAGCCCCCCGAAGGACTGGTGGGATGCCGGGGACCCTTCTCTCCCCATCAGGTCTGTGACAGCGAGCTCTGGTGGGTCAGCGGTCGGTTCCCAGGTCCCAGGACAGAGGAGCCATGGCGTGGGGAGGGCCAGGACACTAGGGTACCAGCAGCCCTGGAGAATGGCAGGTGTCTTAGATCAGAGTTCCCTGCAGAGGGTGGACCCTGCCCTTTGTTCCTTCAGCTGCAGGTCGACACAGCCACACTGAAAGTTCAGACTGATGGTCACATTCACACTTTTTATTCTTCCTTGGTCCTTAATTCCTAGGACTGTGGCTTTAAGGGCTTTGCTTTCTGTGGTCTCAGCTACCATCCGCCAGTCGATATGAAAATAGGAAGTGGGGAAAATTCCCCAAATAAGCACTTCACTTGCTTTAAATAAGTTGTATTATGCTCTGTGGTTACAATTGCTCTATTTCTAGTTACTGTCATTAACCTCTTACTATGCCTACTTTACACATGGGACTTATTATTGTACCTTATCCATTCATTGAAGGATGTGTGGACAGGAAAACCAGCACGTGAGGTTAGGGACACTCCAGGGTCAGGCTCTCTCCAGCCAGGCCTTGCAGACCCCTGGTTGGGAGCTACTTTATTTCATGAGACTTGAATAACTGCAGAATCTCCCACCCTTGTTTGTGACACAGCTCCACACAGGAAGGGACAATAGTTGTGGCGTCATGCATAGGGGAGGGCCTCTGGGAACTCCATGTGGCTCCCACCCCAGGTCCCTGCCTGGAGGGGCACAGGGGTCCACAGGTCTTGTGCCTGCTGCGAAGTGTGAGTGTCAGGGTGTTGAGTGAAGCAGGTTGGCCTCAGTGCCCAGTACTTCCTCCTGCTGTTGTAACCAGTGACTGCACCCAGGAGGACTCAGAACAGTGCAGATCTGGTCTGACTGTTCCAGAGCTCAGAAGTCTGAAGTGGGCCCAATGAGGCTGAAATCCAGGGTCCTCCCGGAGTCCCCTGTGGAGAACTGTCTCCTGGTCCTTTCCTGCTCCTGGAGGCCTCTCCGGCCTCTGGCTTCCTCCTCCATTTTTGTGCTGCCCTCTTAGAAAGCCCTGTGGTATTTGGGATCCACAGGAACAATCCAGGACAGTGGCTGCGTCTCAAGATATTTCCCTGAATCACGTCTGCGAAGTACCCGTGACACTCCATTCCCAAGCTCCGCAGGGAATGGAGTGTCACGGGGTGGGCAGCGATGGCATCTCCTAAGTGAGGACCAGAGGACACCAAGCGTCTGAAGTTGGGGGAGCTGGAGACGGGGTCTCTGTTGGCTGATCCCAGTGGTGTGTTTGTTGGTATTAAGGGAAAGGGAGAGCATCGTAGAATGAGGACTGGCTACAGGTAGCCCCGGATTCTTTCTCGGTCTGCAAGTTTGCCATAAGAAGAGCCCAATTCTGAGAGGGTCTGTGTTCTCGTGTTTGAGGTGGAAAGTGGGAGGCTGTGTGAGACCAGGGCCCACCTGGGTACTAGGAGGGGTCCTTTCCCAGCCGACTCTCTGTCACAGTTGAGTTCCCACCTGGACCACATGCAGGGTGGCAGGGCCACCGGCTGGGCCCACTGGGAGCTAAGACGTAGCAAACCTCACTAAGGTTTCCCAAGAGCCAGGGCACAGCCTTCAGCCACAGGTAAACCTGAATGGCAAAGCTTGCAGACCCAGAGGCCTCTAGACCTGAAAGGGGTGAAATTGAAATGATGGACTTCAGGACACTGGTTTCATATTTTGGCCAAATGATGCCCCCCACTCCCCAGCCACCCCTGACACACGGAGAGGTTGGCCATCCGCCGTGATGGTAGCAGAGTGAGGTCGTTGGCAATGGAGGGGAGGCTTGCTCACAGCTTGCTCCTTGGTGCCCAGCAACACCTGCACTGGTGTCTCTGGGGACATCATGCACTGAGCAGAACCAGCTTGTGTTCCATGAGTTATGGTGACATTAACAGATGATTAATATGCACTTTAAAGACTCAGAGTCGTGATCGTGAGTCATTACTGTTGTGTGTGCCTCTGATGCGCTAAACACTTAAGTGCCAATGATCTCTTTAGATGTACATTCACTTACGAATGCTTAATTTGTTAATCGCAGATGGGGTGTCAAATCGCAGGAGAGACATCTGACGGTCCTTCTGACATTACTAACCACAGGGTGGTTTCCTCCTCATCAGCACACGGTGCCTCCTTCTTCCCTTGATGCCAGAATGTTCATAGTTATGATTTTTCTCTCGTGAAGGGTGGGATGAAAACTTCTCTTAATACAAACAGCACCGAGACGGAGGAGTCCTTAGGTACCAGACTCCATGGCTGCCACATGAAGTGAGACACGTGGCCATGGGAGTTCACGCCCTTCTGTCCCTGCTCACTGTCTGTTTCTTCCTGTTTATCTTTTCTTCCTCCTGCCTGACAAAGAGTCATTCTCCAAGGTCTTCTCCCATCCTCTGCTCTCCATTTGCACCACAGTGGGCAATGGGAAGTGCTAAAGAGGGCCAGGCCAAGTGCCAGGGAGGGAGCTGTGGGGTGGGGTGGAACTGTGTCCCACCCGAGGAGAGCCTGCCACCAGCCCCACATGATGGTGCTGGGCACACAGAAGCCATGTGGTCAGGTCCTCGGGCTTCCAAGAAATGCCGTGATCTAGATCCTTCCAGGTGTTGGCAAAGTAAACCCCTCTCCTTCAGGACCATGAGGACCTCCAGCAGGTCCGAGAGTGCATCTGGCCTCTAGGCCCTGGGCACTCGGTCTTTGCTCTGTGTCTCTTTCCTGGAGGCCCCCCCTCTCCCTGGACAGCCTCGGCCATGCTCCTCATCCACAGAACTATGGGCAGCTGGTATGAGGCATTGCTGTGGGCTGGGGGCCAGGGGATAGTATTCCCCCAAACCACAGGAGAAATACGGTCCATCTTCCAAGGGCTCCAGCCAAGCCTACAGGACAGGACTCCCCACCAGCCCACCAAGTGTCCGCAGCCCCCTGTGCTGGGTCTTCTGTGGGAGGCTTTGGTTAGCACTGACCCAGCTGTCGCCTCTGTGTGGAGAAGGCGCCCAGATCCACGGACCAAGCCCTGGTTATTCTGCAGGGATGTCATTTCAGTGACCATCACTAGACCACTGGGCTTAACTTGTTGGGCCTTTTTGACGACCGGACACAAGCCAGAGATCTTCTTCCCCAGACATGTTTAAATGGATGAAACTTTGTTCAAAATTTCCTGGGGGGCACAGGTGCCATGGGGTCCACCCCAGGAAGCCCTGCTCAGCTTCCTCCCTGGCTTTCCTGGCCAGCAGCCTTTCTGTGTGGCCTGCTGGTCTGTGTGCTTTGTGAAGCCAGGTCCACAGGTGTCCCTCTCAGAGCCATGTCCACAGTGCCCAGTGAGCACCCTGGACTTAGTGGGCATGCCAAAAAGAACTATTGAGTGGATGGACAGATGAGGTGACCGGAGGCTCAGGAGAGGGGTTCAGCTCATCAGTGATAGAAAAAGGGGGTTGCCCAGAGGTGCTGGGGGGACAAGAAGGGGACATCCATACTTCCAGGGTGAATCGAGCCTTCATGGAAGCTCAGGGAGTGACACTAGAGAGTGGGAGGAGAACCAGGGTCCAGAGAAAGGGGCAGCCATGTCCCAGACCAACCCAGGAAGGCGAGGCGTCCTGTGCTCACATAGGGGACTCACTGAAGCCTTAGTGAGGCATCTGGGGAGCATCTGTGCTGAGGCCAGTGGGGTGGGGGGATGTGAAGGGATGGGCAGAGTGGAGAGTGGGGGACACTCGGCAAGGAGGGGCAGCAGCTGTCCAGGGTGCCCAGGCCCAGGGCACAGGCATCCCTCAGAAGAACACCAGCAGGTGGAGCTATGGGGCAGCAGCCGTGAGCCACTCAACAGTGTTACCCTGGGGACTGTGTCACTCACCCATGCCCAATGTCCTCAAGGGCTGAGCCGGGATGTGCGAGTCAGTCCCTCCACGTGGCCTCTTGCTGCTGTCGAGGGCCGCAGTAAAGCATGCTTTGTGGATTGGCCACCCGTCCCTGCCCGGCTCCATAGTGAGTTCCCTCTGTTCTTAACAAGTAGAAGGCGAACACTCTGAGATGACTCGGTCAGCGCACAGCCAGGCCCCAAGGAGCATCCTGTGCCATCCTGTGTCCTCAATGAGCCGTGCTTCCTGTGACCGGCAGAGCCCTGGTTGCTCTGTGTCTCTAGGAGGTGCCTGCATCTCGGCTCCGTTGTAATCCACGGTCCCAGTGTCCCACGTGCAGCTGTTACTGACCCACACCTCATGCAGGATGCATGGCCATGTTTTTAAAGCCCCTATGGCTCTGTGGCCTTCACCCCGTGTCACTTGCTGGGTGAGGTGGGTCCTCCTCCTGTGCTGGGAGGGAAGCACCAGCCGCCCCGCTGTGACACTACTCTGAGGAGGAAGCCCTGCCAGACCCCAGCAGGCCACGGTTGGCTCCTGTTCACACTGTCCAGGTCCCCACAGAGATCACCCCACTCAGCAAGAGTCAGATCCCCTCCTGCCCCAGGCTGCTGCCACATTGGGGAGCTGCTGCAGGCCTTCTACCCCTTTCCTTGGGGCCGAGCAGGTGAGGGCAGCAGGGAGGAAGGAGGCTCCGGAGCTTGGGACGGTCCTCCTTCATGGCTGGCTTGTGGTACTTCGCGCTGCCTGGAGAGCCGCATTATGGCTAGGTCTCCCTGGGGGTGTTGGTGGGCCATGGGGGTTCTTTCAGCCCTCGGCATGGCTTGGGCCATCTGAACCACCTGTTGCTGGCTGGCTGGACTTGGGCAGAGACCCCGGGGTGGCCTTCCCGCCTGCCCCTTGTCCTCTTGCTGGTGGGTCTGCGCTGAGCCCATTGCCCGGTACCTTCCTGTGGTTTTGGTTCTGTTTTGTGGATGACCATGTCACGTGGTGCTGTTAACCAACTGCTCCCTCCTCTGCCCTTGGCCCTGGCAGCAGGGTCCACTTCCTGTTCTGGGCATTTCCTGTCCTGCATTGGTCAGCGGGCGCCTTGGTGCCTGGTGCACTGTGTAAGCCTGAGAA